CTTGAATAGTGTTTATGAATGTATTTTTTTTCCTTCGCTTTGATTACTTTTTAATAGAGGCATGTGTTAGAACTCACCTTATTCTTACTAGCTGGACCAAGGGGGTAAAGACTAGGAAATGGGATTATATAACGAAGATTTGTTACTATCAACCCTCATCTAATAGATTGAACGGACGAAAGGATAACTAATTTGGAATCAACGTCAGGGGTTAGTAAAGAATACACCTATAGACGGACCAATTTGCATGAAGAAATTCACTTATATAGGTGACCATCCACTTAGGTGATAAATAACTTGCCGATCTTTCATGCTAGACACTAGACATGGCTACTACTATAAGGTTCTACTGTGTTAAGGATTCGTGGGGAACACTAATATCCTAGTTACATCTTTTATTAAGTTCAAACACATCATTATGCTACTTTTCTACTTGTTACATGCAAGCATTCCAATCGATTATTTTCACATAACCCCCCCCCCCCCCCCACTCCCGCCGCTACAGAAATAAGACGACTAAGAGCACAAATAATAACTATTAAACTAAGTCTAAACCTCATTTCTAGTGGAATCGACCATAACCTCTGTTAGGTTTTTTACTTGGATAATGACCGCTTTATACTTTTTTTGGAGGTGTAATTTGGGTGTATCAACCGGGCATGATGACACCTATTTTATCCCACCAAGATATTACAACTTAAATAAGCCTTGACAAGGGTAAATGCGGAAGTAAGAAAAGAATTAAAGAACTAAGCATAATATAAGTATATTGCGGAAGCCATAACATAACAAAATCTTCCCCAAAACCTAGTGTCATGTGTACAAGCCACTAAGTAATACAACTGATTTAAAGAAAACACAAGTATGAATGTCTTGATATCTAGAACAGATTAAATACATAATAAAATAGTAAGTGACATCTGCCGGGATGAACAGAAGCTACCCCACGAACTCCAAAACAAGTCTTAAACGATGATGTGCAAGGCTGATCAAAATGATTCGGGCTCGTAACCTACACAAGTGTGGAAAGCGAGGGAGAGAGTACCAAAACAACAACGGTACTCATCAAGCATCCCTAGATGACCCTATATAATGTAATACCAAACATAATATACCCTGACACACCATCCAAATCTCCACATACTACAACCTGCACAACGATCAAAATACAACTCACTCTAGCAACGCAATCATACACTGAACATAACACAATAAAAGCAATTCAACTAATCGGTAACACAATTAGAATTTCTAATAGATCAACTCCATGTTCCAATTCAATATCCCACATTGACAATAAACCACTCATAGAATCAATCAAACAATAATTTGCAATGCTTTTGAAAGCTAAATGTAAAGTAAGATGATGTATGTATGTCCTATCTATACACACCTGATGCATAAGCATCACGAGACCCCTAGGGGACTGAACTATTTCCCATTGGCATAACTCACTCGCCAGAATCATTTTCCATTGGCATAACATCACTTTCTAGAACCATTTTATATCAGCATAACATCACTCACCGGAACCATTTTCAATCGGCATATCAAGGATATAGAGGTCATCATAGTTTTCAACAACAGAACAAGAAGACAAGATCAAATGCACAGGACGAGGATGCCAATTCTCACTCTAAGAATCAATTATAATAAGTCATCCAAAGGTCACTCAAGGCATATCACACATTAATATTTCAACGAAGACATCTTTATCCCACATGATCATTATTAGCATTATAATAACATTTGATATGAATGAAACATACGTTGACCTTCACCATTTCTCATTGCTCTCGAACACACAAATAAGGCATACAAGGTTCAACATACTTTACAAAAGGCTAAAGAGGTCCACTTGCCTTTGATGAAAGATAAATCAACTCAGCATTTGAGCCTTCTCTTTACGTTGAGGTTCTGAATCCACAAAATCTAATCACATACAGAATTCCCATAAGAATTCATGAACTACGGCACTGATAATGTTCATTTTGAACACCGGGCCTGAACCAACCCATAAAGTCAAATTCGAGGGTTGGGGGTAATTCGGAATACTTATAGAAAATCAAAATACCCAAACATAATTTAACTCTTAAGTGAAATCATAATGAAAAATGATTTGAAATCATTCATAAAATCTCAATTTATTAAAACCTAATTTCAAGAGAAAATCCACAAACTTTGAATTTGAAAACAAGGGTTTATATGTTAAAAATCATAAAACCCAATAGATTTATCTTGAAACCCCTCTTTAAATTCACCTCACTAGTGCTCTCAAGGTCCAAGAATGGAGAAATGGGGAAGAAAACATGTTTTGGGGAATTACTGAATTGCCTAGATAATTACTCTTCACGGATGCAGTCACTACCCTATAAACGCAAAGAGTGACATCTCGTACCATTCACGAACACAAAAACTACCCCGCGAACCAAGACGTCAACACTTCGACCCATCGTGATCGCGCTCAAATGTGGAGGTCACCACCTCAACCCTCCGCGATCGCAGCCAAGACCTCACGAATTTGAAGGCCAAAACACCAGACCCTTCGCAAACGTGGCCAGACTCCACGAACGCGAAGGAGAAACCAAAAAACAAAATACAGTAACACTAAGGTACTAAAAAATCCATTGAATGGACCATCAGGATTCGTTCAAAATTCCGAGCACACAGATCGAATGTGCTACCCTACTAACTTCAATGTTCTGGTGTCAATGGTACCATCAAAACAACGATTCGAGGTCTCCTTGACCCGACACCTGTTTAAGCCACAATTAACCAACTTTCACCCAAAAGATAAAAATACCCTCAGAACCTCCATAAAATTAACCAAGGTATTACCGAAGCCTAAAATCAGCTCATGAATTCAACAAAATCGATGTAAATTCAATTTGAGTGTTTGAACTCCGAATGTTGATCATAGTCAAATCTTGATTTGAATTCACTTAATAACTCAATTTATGGGCTCGAATCCACATCAAAACCTTAAAATGAAGAACTACAACACTCCAAAATTAAATATTGCTTCGGGAAATGATGGAACCGACATAATTTCATTTCGAGACTCATTGCTCTAGATGTTGACTAAAGACACTTACAACAACTTAAGAGTCTCCAAAACTCTAAAACTCTAAAATTTCCAAAAATTCCAATTCTATTATCCCGCTATGAAACTAACCTCATAAACCGATCAAATAAAACTAGGGACGACTAACGAGAGGGGTAACACAGTAATTTTCCAAAAATATTCAAAAATTACTTTCAAGGTTATTACAATCAAGTTAGATCTTTTAGGTGCATTATTGAGTTAATTTAGGCATTTTGTAACTTCGTACTCATTAACTACTATTACAGTTAATTTGTAGACAATAAATAATAACTCCTAACAAGTAACAACAAATAGACAAAAATAAAGATGAAACAATATAAAAGTACACAACAAATATATTGTTGAGAATATAATTAAATAATTAAAGTGTGCTCTCTCTAATAGTTTAAACTTTTAGATGAGATTGTCACACACTTAAATATGATATATGAGCACGCAAAGGTCCTGAGATCAAATCTCACGCCATCCAAATAATATATATATATATATATATATATACATACATACACACACAGATAAATAATAAATTTGAAATTCAATATGTCAATAATAACTTTTGTCCATACAAAGTTAAATCCTAAGAAAGTAGGTGATATCAAATCAAATATGCAAATAATAAACTTCTTTCCATAACAATGTTAAATCCCAAAGAAGTAGAACATTTATTTAACATAAAGGTGCATAAATCTCTGAAAACAACATTTAAGTAAAATTCTAGAAAAAGAGAATATTTTTTTAAAAAAATTAAACGTGCACAAATATCTAACACATCTTTGAAAAATGAAAATTCTAGGGCTGAAAGATAAGAAAATAGATCTGTGAAAATCGAAAACCAACAATACATGCAATAATCACACTCCAATGAGAACTATAAACTAAAATTGACCATAAACGAGACAAGAAAACGTGAGAGGATGGAAAATATGCGTACCTATGAAGATTTCTAGCGATTTTCTGTTAGGCAAAGATTGAGAAGATAATGAGACTGTAGGATTTGTAGTGTAAGTCACAATAAAGTGAATGTCTTTTGAGAATTCTAGATTATAATTTGGGTGTGAGTCCTAATTAAGTTACTCGGGTGAAACTTTAATTATATATCAAGATGATTTTTTTTATTATATGTAAAAATTAAATAAATTTTGAGTAGGTCGTGAAGATTATAACACAGGTTCCTTTGTCAGTTCAAAAGATATATACATATCAAAAGTTAGAAGGTAAGATCATGAGTGTCCTAAAAGTATAACAAAGCGTATTTAATTTAGATATCATTAATGATAGTTCCTAGATATACTTATCTTTTTTCTTTAAATTTTTTTATTTTAAGAATAGTTTTGAAATATTTCAAAATTTAATATTTTATAAATTATGTGCTTAGTTAAAGTGTGTCGCATAAATTGAGATAGAGAGAATAATTTTATTTATTTTATTTTTCTTGCTTTAACTACACTCCTCTGATCGTGCCGTTTAATTTGTTTGTTATACTTTTCTTTTAGCAATTCTTTAGTTCATATTTTTTCACATAGCATATCTTATATCATAATATTAAATAATATCTTGAATTTTTTTATTTAAAATAATAAAATTCAAAAATTAAATTAATTTTCTTAAAATCAATATCAAGTTAAAACATGACAACTAAATTAAAATGGGAAAATAACTTTCATTTGGCTCCATGAAGTTAAAACACGTAAGAGTAGTCCCACGAAGCATGTGGCACATATCCATCTTTTCCAAATGAAACGTGGCGACCTCTTCAACAAAGTTGTATTTTATCACAAAACATCAACCGACCTAAGACTTTAGATATATAATGCAAAATACTAATGGATATACTCATTAATAATAATACAGAAAAATCAAATTTACAATACTGTTAGCTAAATATACAAAAAATACAAGATTTAGAAAATTTAGAAAGATGTTAGGGGCACAAGGTGCACAACCTAAGGAATCTTTAACAGCAACAACGTATGAATCAATAGTGAAAGAGGAGAATAGGCCACGAATGGATATTCATTCTCGTGAAGATGAAAAAGGGATTCAAATTGATAAAATTCAAGATAAGGTAGATGATGTTGCTGGCAAAGGTGGTCCCGTTTTCGGGGCCGGTAAAGACGACCACAACAAGAAGGATTTGGGAGTTACAGGCACTGGAGAGTAAAACTATTTATTACTATAACTACTACTTTGTTTGTAAATGGTTTTTTTCTTTAGGGTTCTTTGTTTCTAGTTTTCAAGAATGTTATGTATACCAAGACTTGTTTAGTTTGTAACTTTGTAATGTCTCTTTCACGATTTTTAATGTTTTTATTCAATAATTAAGAGCCTTAAGTTGATAGTTGTGAAGCATTTTTTGGAGTGTTTGGTAAATTAAGAAAGTTTTAAGCTAAAATGATGGTAAAAGTAAATTAAATGTAGCAAAATAAGTTAAATTTTCGAAGTTATGTTTGACAAATAACAAAAAAAATTAAGTCGGTAAATACATAAACATGATCATTAATCTTGGCGCCAGTTGGCAATTATGACCTTTAACGCACAAGTAGGCACTTAAATTTGTATAAAATTGAACAAATAGACACATTCACCCTACATGGCAATTTTGTGCCCTATGTGGCATTCTACATATATTATCCTATATAGGATACGTGTGTCCAGTGTTTTAAACGACGGGAGCGTGAAGCGAGGTGTTTTACTTAGTTTAGGGCGAGGCGTAAGCCTCGAGATGTGCGGCGTAAGCCTTATGGAACTTTAAATTTTTAATAATAATATAGTATGATAATATAATAACACAAAATTATAAAAATACATCAAAGTTTGAAATAATTACAAACATGATTAATGAAATTCATAGAAAATAAAACTTATTATACAAGTATAAATAATTTAATATTTTAACTTTTTAATAATAAAAGAATCATTATTTATAAAAATATTTTTTTATCATATTATACAATTCACCCCCTAAAAGAAAATAATAAATAAAAACTTGCTAGTATTATAATAAAAATATCACTCAATGATGAATAAAAATAAAATTACTTTCAAATAGCTAAATAAAATATGATAACTTTGAGAATTATGACAAAATCATGAAGAGCAATGATAACTGAAAAAGTAAAATTTCATTTCATATTTTTAAAAGAAATATTACGTAATGTATAATCACCTTCACAATGTTATCCAGTAGAAAAGATGTGATACTACAACTGGTTATTTGAGTTACTCTCAATCTACTTATCTCTATAGATTAAAAAATTATGAAGTATCATTCATTTATTCAAGAATTATGAGGGTCAACAATGTTAATTAAAGATTTTAACGCATAATTTGTCTAATATCTGTTAGGCGAGCCCCGAGCGTTGTGCGTTGGGCGTACAGTCAGGCGCTTAGGGCGTAAATCTTATAGAACTAAGTCCACACTTGAGTCTCAAGGTATTTTTCTAGAGTCCCAACATAGTCTTTTAAAACACTGCGTGTGTCTACTTGTTCAATTTTATTCAAGTTTAAGTGTCTACTTGTCCAAACTCAAAGTTGGAGGCCATAGTTGTCCATTGAAGCCAACTTAAGGGTCATGTTTATTTATTATGCCTATATTTTTTTAAGGAAAAAGGGTTTGATATACTCCTTAACTTTGTCATTTAGGGTATACTCCTTGTTATGAAAGTGGTTCATATATTCCCTGCATATACCCTTACTGTAGCAAAAGGAGCTCACATATACCTTTTATCTAACGGAAGTGAAAAAATAGGTTTTAAATTGTAAATTTTAAATAAATTCATGTAGGGGTATATATATAATCATTCTAGCAAAGTTTAAGGCATATTTTAATCTTTTTCATACAAAAATTATTTTTGACTTCTTTGATTATCATTATTCAAGTTTCTTATTCGGTTTTTTCCTTTCATTCTTTAGTGTAAAAAAAAAATTAAACTCTTTTTGTGGCTATATTGTAACTTAGTTTTTGTATTTGTAAAAAAAATAAAAATGGGGCATCTATGATAAATTTTACAAGAAACTTAGTGAAACGTAAATAAATTTGACCATCAAAATGATAAATTTAAATTAATCGTTGAAACAAAAAAGTCAAAAAAAAATATGTATAAGGAGGGATCAAATATATCCCATATGGATTATATTTGTTTTAAAAAGTAAAAATAAAATTAATTTTTTCACAGAGAAAAAGGGTATATGTGGAGCTATTTGTATAGCAATGGAGGTATATATGAATCACTTTCATAACGAGGGGCATATCAGGTCTAAATGATAAAATTGAGGGGTATATAAAGCCCTTTTTCCCTTTTTTAAAATTTATATTAATATCATAGTGGGTAGGGGTAAGATAGAAAAAAGAACTATTTTATTACCTATTTTGAATTTTGAGTACACAAAAAAAATACTAATAAATTATCTTTTAATGTCGTTATTTTCCTCTCTTTTTTTGGTCTCTTGTATATCGTAAGTTTAAAAAATTCAAAATATAAATTAAAGGATAAGACCCAAGAAGAAAAAGTAAAAGAGAGCCAGGCCCAGGCTGGGGGGAGTTAATTTTACTATGAAACCCAAAATATAATTAATTATATGCGCTCATATATTAAATAATTTCAAATTATTTTAATGGAATAGGGCTTAAAATATATGTAAACTATGAAATTTGATATAACATTGTCTTCTCATGAGTATGAACCATTAGAAATAAGAATATTTTCGAACGAAAAATTTAACGATAGAAGTACTTTAGAATTAAAAGATGGATAAAAAGTAATTTTATACCAATTTAAATAACTAAAAGTCATTTTAGATCATTCTCCGTAAAAAAAAATCTAGTTCATTTGCTATTCATGCCTTGCAAAATTTAACAGTTTCGTACATGTAATTCATTTTCTCTTCATGCAAATTAGAAATTTAATAAATTTTTTTGGGGCGTGAATTCACAAAGTAGTTGGCATAATATTATTAGAACATAACGTAATAATAGTTAAAATGTGATGTTCATACATATAATGGTGAGAGAAAGAAGTAAATTCTAGGGGTGTGTTTGGTAGGAAGGAAAATGTTTCTAAAAAATATTTTTTTGAAAAACAATTGGAATTCTAACTTATTTTTGAATGTTTAGTTGGTGAATGAAAAATATTTTTCAGAAAATATCTCTCATTTTTGACTTGAGACTAAAAAACAATCTTTAGAAAAATAAATTCTGATCCGCAAATCAATCTCGATAATTGATCTACGATCCGACCCCGACACTCAAACTAGGACAAGACCACGATGATCGTTCCAAAATCCGACCCTGAGATTTGATCCAGGACCTGACCTAGGGATATATTTTTTTTAAATAAATAAAATTGATGGGGTCTCGAGGGGGGGGGGGCAGGGGATAAAAATGATTTTTTAAAAAAAATTGAAATACTTCTCAAAAACAATTTTTTAAAAAACTTTTTTTTTTGATGGGGGTGGCTTGGATGGGGTGGTGCGAGGGGCAGTGTTTGCGTGAAAAATGATTTTTTTTAATAATTTGAAATAATTTTCAAAAATAATGTTTTCTTAAAAAAAATAATTGAAGAGAATGGCCTGGGTTGGGGTGGTAGGGGTGACAAGAAACAAAAATTAAAGGATGAAGTACAGTTTTGAAAAATATTTTCCCTAATTTTGGAAGAGAAGTCATTTTCCTTAAATTTAAGGAAAACGAGTTGATTTGAAAAATATTTTCCAAACATTTAAGTCAACCAAACATGGAAAAATTGGAAAATATTTTCCTCCATTCCAAACAAACCTAGAAGTAATATGTTTTTACTCTGCTCTGTACTACTATTATATTCTGACTTCTTCTAAAAAGTGACTAGGTAAATGTATATTTATAAAACAGAGTCAATCAACAGACCGTGGTTCACAACCGTAGGTGTCATCTTTAGATTCTGAAATTCCCCTAAGTCTGGGACTGAACCATGGGACCCCACCTACGATCCATGGTTCTACCTACAGTCTGTGGGTGATTTCAATTGTTTTGACACCAGATACTGGAAAGCTGCACTTTTCTATTATCTCAAGTTCAAGGTGTTACATTATCTCCCCCTTAGAAACATTCGTCCTCGAATGAAGTCGAAACAAGCTGAGTATGGAGGGAAGGAGCTGCAATCCCTACCACTAAGTACTAGAAACTGATATCTGACTAATCTGAGTTCCATGAACATGCAAAGAGGTTGAAATGCAAGGATAATTGAGGGAACAAGATACTGAGATTGACATACACAAGAGAAACTAAGAGACTGGAGAGGAACTATTACCTCAAGCTGAAACGAAATCGGAAGGAAAGAGGTAAGGATACTTGGCTATCGTGGTTGCTTCACCTACTTCAAACCAACCAATCGGGGACATGCATCTACGCCCATATAGTGCCTCATACGGGACCATCTGAATACTGGAATGGAAGTTATCATTATAGACGAACTCTATGAGTGGTTGGTGATCATCCCAACTACCCTTGAAATCAATCACGCAAGTTCTCAACATGTCCTTTAAGGTCTGAATGGTACGTTCTGCCTGACCATCCGTCTGTGGATGAAATGTTGTACTGAGATTTACCAAGAAGTAAGCGGACTTAGTGACTCTGTCTACTATCACCCAAATTGAGTCATGTTGTCTGCGAGTACGAGGTAAACCCGTAATGAAGTCCATGTTTATCACTTCCCACTTCCATGTAGGAATGCTAACCTCTTGAGTCATACCTCCTGGTTTCTGATGTTCAACCTTCACCTGTTGACAGTTAGGACACTTAGCCACAAAGTCTGCTATGTCCCTATTCATGCCACTCCACCAAAAGACTTCCCGTAGATCACGGTACATCTTAGTGGCACCTGGATGAATAGAATATCTGGAATTATGGGCTTCTGTAAGGATCTGTTGCTTCAACTCATCCACATTAGGAACATATAAGCGACCCTTGAAACGAAGCACACCATCTCCCCTGGGAGAAAACCTCAACTTTCTGCTGATGAACTGCACCTTTCAGCTGATGTAATATAGGATCACTGTCCTGTTTTTTCCTTAACCTCCGCTACCAATGAAGATTCTGATCCATTCTGAGCTATCACACCACCATTTGATGTGTCCGTAAGGTGAACTCCTAAGCGAGCAAGCCGGTGAACATCTTTGGCTAAATCTTTC